GCAGCCATGAAATTAAGTGACACTTGCTCCTTGGAAGAAAAGCTATGACCAACCTATATAGCATATTAAAAAGCAGAGACCTTACTTTGCCAACAAAGGTCTGTCTAGTCAAAGCTATGGATTTTCCAGGAGTCATGTATGGATGTGAGAGTTGGACTAAAAAGAAAGCTGAACACTGAAGAACTGATGTTTTGAACTGTGGTGTTGGAGAAGACTCTTTGAGAGTCCCTTGGACTGCAAGGAGATCCAACCAGTCCATCCTAAAGGAATTCCATCCTGAATATTCATTGGAAGGACTGATGCTGATGCTGAAACCCCAATACTTTGGCCACCTGATGGGAAAAACTGACTCATTGGAAAAGATCCTAATTCTGGGAAAGATTGAAGGCAGGAGGAGGAGGGAACAATAGAGGATGAAATGGTCGGATGGCATCTCTGACTTGATAGACATGAGTTTGAGTAAACTCTGGGAGTTGATGATGGACAGGGAAACCTGAAGTGCTGCAGTCCATGGGGTCGCAAAGAGTCAGACATGACTGAGCGACTGAACTGATTCAAAAGATGAGCTGGTGTATTAAGAGTATTAGTGACCACAGAAATAGAGCTTTCATCTTGTGGATAAATCTGCAGTGGGTCTATTGCTGATGGCTATAAGATAGAGTAAAAGGTTATACTCTTAATATTTTTAGCTGCTCAGAGTATCTAGCAATGCTCACAAGAGTTTAAAACTTTAAATTTCTAAGGCCTGCCTATAAAATTATCACCAGAAAGATATGTTCATTTCTTCTAAAGTTAGCATTAACCTAAACCTTATTAATATGTAGGCTGGGAAACATTGGGAGGTTGGTTTCTCCAGTTTAATTAGCCTTGAGTGCTGATTTGTTTTGATAATATAAATAATTAGTTTAACCACAAAATTGATGTAACAGAAATAATTGTCAGGCAATTAAATACTGCAATGATTTCAACTCTTGGGAAATATATAGTAGTATGTAAAGATGGTAATAAAATTGAGATACACTTGGGCTGAAGTACAAAAGCATATTTTACTTGATTTATCAAAAATAATTTTACAGATGCCACATTGTTTATATTAAAAAATTCACTAATGTAAATTTACTACATTTATTCCTGTTGGTTTTTCCTTTTATAATAAAGTTTTGCATGTTTGCTAATGTTAAAATAATTGTTCTTTGGAATCCACAAGTTAGTAGGCCATTTTAGTGGGAAGAATGTAACAAATAATGAAGCAATGTTGGTAAATTCAATATAAAATGTATATGTAAGTTTCCTTTTTTATGAAATTGAAAATTTTTTAGCTCTACAGAGAAGTATATTTTCCTTTTCTATATGTATATAATAAATAATATAGTCCAAAAAAGACACCTTTTTTTTGTAGTCCCTTAATGTTTTAAAACTTTTATGTTTAGGTGGGTTTTTTTTTTTTTGTTTTTTTTTTTTACATTATGCAATCAGGTTGTATCTTTTACTATTTTATGATAGTGGTAAGAATTTTTATGTCTTATCATCAGTGTTCACATTACATATTGACAGTCTTATTTTTGGCTTTAACTCAGATATATATGCAGACTGATATTCAAGTATCATTAGTCTTTCTAAAACGATATACTGCAAATAAATCAGTGAAAGGCCCTGATCTTTAATATATCTGCTCTTCCTAAAGAATCACTATCAAAGAATTACTACAACTTCATGACTTCCACTTATCATTAATTTCAGATGATTAGTGTCCACCATAAGGAAATACACTGTTTCAGTTCTCATATGTAAGGTACCCCACTAGAGTAACGCAACTGATTTCCACATATAATGTATCATTTCTAAATTTATCTGAAGATTCCTTGAGTGTCTAATTAAAATTATTTGAAATTAACATGAATTCTGTCCTAATGAATTGCAATAAAATTTAAAATTAAGTCTATGGGGTAAAGATTCATTCACTATTGTTAGCCAGTATTATTTTAAAATGTATCTGCTACATTTTCTTTCTCTCCTATTCATTCTCCAAGGGATTACATTATATATTATATCCTTTCATTTTTCTATTTTGTGCACAATTCAAATATTTATGCTTTCACATTTAATAAGTGAACTCCCTTAAAATTTATGATGTATTAATTAGTCCTGATCTTGTGTAATGTGTAAGAACAGAAATATATATTCATAAAAATATTATTTATGTATTTTAATAACACAAAACTGAGGGCCCTTTACCAAGGCATTAAGTTATTAAGGAACCATGTGAAGGGTGTGGGTATTTGATCAAAGTGTTTTCAAAACACTAGGAATACTTCTATTGCTGTCTTCACAGTGTCTGATGTGTATGTGGCATGGCATCACCCAACCAAATGCAAAATAAAATATGAGACATTATCATCTGAGTTTATTCAGATCACCAGAATATACATTTATCTTAAAAATTAACTAAATGAGATATTATAGTTAATTTTTACAATAAAGGGCCACCATATAAATGGCCTTCCCTGATGGCTCATATGTAAAGAATCTGCCTGCAATGCGGGAGACCTGGGTTCCGTCCCTGAGTTGGGAAGATCCACTGGAGAAGACATGGCAATCCACTCCAGTACTCTTGCCTGGAGAATTCCATGGAGGGGGAACCTGGCGAGCTACAGTCCATGGGATAGCAAAGAGTCAGACATGACTGAGCGCCTAAGTGTACACACACACACGCATATATGTATAAGCATGCTTTCTATGTGCAAAAAGATGTAATCTAATTTTGCTAGTTATCTATCTCTGCCATTAAATATTTAAACGATTAAAATTGTATATAATGTATAAAATGGAGGGACATAGTTTATCTCATAAATAATTATTTTCTCCATGACATCATGACATATCTTCTTAGCAGTTACAATGTCTAAGTATTATCATTTGTCTACCAGAAATGTAGTTGACATTCCCATTGTCCAAACTGATCTTTCTGATCTGTAATTCAATTTTATGTCACTTTGCAATGCAATGAATTTTTCTTTAATGCATGTTTCTATCTAAACTCCCATGTTTTTAGGCAGAAATAAATTAACAGTGTCTTTCATGTTGGCCCAAAGTATAGTTTGATAGTCTTCTCAAATTTAGATTTGTGAACTTGACTAGTATGATTAAACTCCAAATAATAGCAGAAAAATCAACAAGTTCAAAAAGAGACCACTGAATGAATCACTGTTATAAATCAAGTTAATTTGCAACATTATTTTCTAGTTGAAATTATAAGAGCTTAGGATAATTATATTTCTTCCTTAACTATTTTGAAAGTACTAACTTGAATATGCATTTTAAATTACCCAAATGCCTTTAAAATGAAGATTTCATCTTTTTCATAATAACAGTAATATTAATTGCATCTTATTATTTATGTAATAGTTTTTATTTTTCTTAATACAGTCCATACATTACCTCATTTAACCCCTATATCAACTTTTTTGGTGTAAGTAGCATTGTCATTCTCATTGTATACATGAAAGTTATTAATTTTCTGAAGTTCTCACTGATAGTATGTGATAGAGCAAGGATTGGAGGCTGGGGCTTTTGAACCCAAATCTAAAATTCTTACCCCTATACCAGTACTAACTTGCTACTAAGAGTAATCAAATAAGCTAATAGTCATGAAAGTCAGGACTTGGAAGGAACATTTGAATTTGTCACCTATGAAAATGTCTTTTCATATATTTTCAACTTTTAGAATACTCACTGTGCCATACAATAAAAATAGTTTTCTGTCTTGGGAAATGTGGAGGGGTTATAAGAACTCTTTGTCCTGAATCCATTATTCAGAAGGACATGAACCAACATAATGGCACACAAGGGCACTGTTGGTGACCTTCCTTCCCCTAAAGATGGGGGTGGATGCTGAGAATTTCTCTCATTCTGTCTCCAGGTGGGTCTACTATTTGCATGCTCCGCTGCACAGCTTTCAAAGGGCTTGCCCTGGGATATAACTGGGCTGGATTTAGAAGGAGCTGGTCATTGAATAGCTCTGGTAGTGCTTGCATCTCACAGTTATGCGGCTGACAGCTCCTTTTGGTGGGGAAAGCTTGGATATATTTCAAGGTGATTGTAGCTTTGTCCCTCTGGCAGCAAGCTGCTGCAACCAGCTTAGCCCATTATCCTCCTCTCCCACTGGATTTAAGCCTAGGGAGAAGTCTGGGGCTTTTGTCAGAAAAGAGGGTAAGGGATAGATAATTATCCCCCATTTGCACTCAAAGAGTACTGCACTATATTATAAAGTAGCCTTCAATTATTGAAATGGGCTTGTCTACAGTTCCAGTGACTTACAAATTACTCTTTGTAAAACACAAAATTTAGCTTTATTGCTAGTGATGTTGTATGTTTAGTATCTCATACTTTAAGCTTTATTAAACAAAACTTTATTTAACATTTAACATTTTTAGCATTTAGAGAGTAATATTTAACATTCAGAGATCAATATGTATTTTCGTTTCAAAGATTTTATTAGATTTTGCAGTACACTTGGTTACCGTGACCAAATTGATTAAAAGCTCCACAGTGCAATTGTCTACATTGTAATTTTTCTCAATTTGACCCTCTTAATCTCATGGGGGCAGTTCTGTAAAATCAATGCAAAGTAATTAGAAAATTTTAAATTCTAGATGTTGTGAATATATTAATTGTTTCCTTTAATATCCATTCACTGGAATACCTTTTAGAAATACTATTATTTAATAAACATATCTGGAAAATAAAATTCCCATAGATCCTAATTAATTAATGATGTAAATTTGCCTTAGCAGATTTGAGAGAAAGTATTTTCAGTTTTCTATCCTCCAGTAGCTCAGCATCACTTTCACTCCTCTTTTGAGCAAAAATTATAGTCAGAGATGAGCATTTCAATTTGCAGCTGACAGTTTAGGGTTAAGATATGATTCCAGGTAACAGAAGCCAATGAGAGTACACCCAGTTGATGTTTGTGACATCATCTTCCAGTCGGAGTACATAGGAGCGCTGAGGTAGCGTTCAGTTTCAGCCCCAGTGCCATTATGATGGATGTTTACATCTCTTCATTGAGAGCCAATTATCTCTCTTTTGTGTGAGGCCCAAGGATCACTCATGTTGCCAGGCTGCACGGAGCCCTGTTGGATGTAGCTGAACCAATTGTTTTCTCTGTCTCTGGTAAGAGCCTCTTCTGTTTTACCTTTTCTTTCAAAATAAGGGGAGATGTATGTAACAGGGGAAACAGTATGAGAAACTGGTGTCGGGGTTGAAAAGGCTTACTATTTGGTAAGCTTTTAATCAGAGCACTGTTTAGCAGCATTAAAAGGAAGTGTGGATTTAGCAAAATGCATTTTAAAAGAGCATACTAACATGCACCTGGAAAACTAATTTGCAGTAGAAAAAGAGCAGCAGGTAATTCAGCTTTTCTTTTGAAAAAGGAAAGTAACTTATATTATGAGATTACTATTTTGAATGTCTTTAAATATATGTGCATATGTATACACTCTTCTCCATCACCTTAAAATCTGCTGTTAGTAGCAAAGAGTAGAAATAAAACTGGTCAATCAGATAGTGTTGCTATAAATTTAAAATGAGTTAAAGTTTCTAATTGTTAAATGATAGTTCTTTGGAACAGTTTTTGAAAGTTGTATCTATCTGGGAAAGCAGAATTTACTAAGTAAGCAAAGGCTTTAGCTTCTGAAATGAAGTTGTAGTACTTTATAACCATATTTATTATTTTTAGCCTAAGGAAATAATACTAGCAAATAGTGTTAAAGAACGGTATGTTTTTTTCTGGAATTGAGAGATGTTAAAATCATATATTTCATTAAGTGCTTTTGAATGCATACCAAATTATGTGTTTTATTTATCTGAAAAATATTTAAGTCCTGAAATTAAATTTTTCAATCATATAATTATTTATTAGTAGTGATATTTATACCTGGGGATCCTTACGGTATTGTAGCAAAACAGATATATTTACAGCTGTTGAAATACTATGGCCATAGATTATTAAATCTGACAGGAATCCTGAAAAATCAAATACAATAAAAGCTTTTAATTGACTGAGAATTTTCACATGCTACCAAATGAAGAATTCAGAAACACTTTTAACTCCTCAAATATTGTCTATTATCACAGTAGAAAGCAGAAGACTATTGTTATCTCAAAGTTGAATGATATTTATGAGATGAAGACACAGAAAAGTGTAAATAGCTGTTATTTACTGGAAGATGTTGTCTTATTTTAATAGCATCTCCACTTCTTCTAGGGCAATAAAACTTTTGAATAATGACTTGTCCATCAAGCTGTGACACGTTCATGTTTTTCAGATTTATTTTTTACTCGACTTTAACATAGAATATTTCTGCCTGTGCAAACCAGGAATTTGGACAATTAAAAAGCAGAGTTTGGAGATGCTCAGTTTGTGCTTGGAGACAGTAGGGACTTCTCAGCTGTGTCACACCTCTCTCTCTCCTACCAGCCCAGTCCTGCTCGTCACTGCTGGACACTACTGTTGTTCGACTTGTCTCCCTCAGTCAATTCAGGACTGAGCAAAACTGAGCTTATAGAACGTGTCAGACATGTATTAATGGAATCTAAAGAGCTGAGATTGTTGTCTCAACCAGGACAATTTATAATCAACCAAACCTCAAAAGCTTATAAGCTTGATCTGGGGTTAATTTTTTTACAGGGAGATTTATGTTGGCCTACTCTGTAAAATTCAAAAATCTAAAATTGGGAATCCAAAAGTTTTGATAGGATGAACTTGAAAACCTGATCCACAGCTTCAAAATGATTTTTTTTTTTTTTTTTGGCCATTAACTATCTCAAAGTGGAGTTGAATAACTCAGAGGTATTGACTCTGTCTTTTTCACAGGTGATCAATCTTGAGTAAGGCAAAGCATTTGTTTCCTAACACTTAATTCTCTAAAAATCTATTTATAACATCTGTCAACAATGGAGAAAATCTTAGCCAATTAACAGTCTACACATTTAAAATTGTATTTTCTGCTGTGTATAAATGCTTTCCTCAGTGGTATAGTCTCTAATCACAAATGCACTGTTTTGGTAGTGATTACAGTTTTAAAATTGTTTCTCTTCGTTTTCCTTTGAACAACTTTGTACAATATGAATATGCCTGATATGATACCTGGATGGTAGAATTCATTGACAGAAAGTTTTTGCTTTTATTAAGGGGATTATAGCGATTTTCCATGCCACAAATTCCTAGGAAGAATTCTTAGAGTGCAGGGCAACATAGGTGAAAGACAAATGTGCTACATGTATCCCTATGTTAATTGCCTTCTTTCTAATACATATGTTTTTTATCTGAGTTGTTATCATCATCTTGTATCATTTTGCATTTTCCTTCTCCATATTATCTTATCCAATTTTTGTAAATGGTGTAGCAAGTGAATGTTACTAAGTGACAGGTTTTACGAATTTTAAGAAGAGATGGAGAAAGTGCACAATGATAAAAAGATTCCTATTATTCCCTTCTGAAGTTCTTTGCATTTCCAACAGGCTGAGGGTTATATATTGATTTCTTTTGAAAATTGTTCCTCATATTATGTTATTACTTATTCCATAATAACATCTTTGCCTCTTAAACACCTTAATCTTCTCCTACAACTTAGTTTATGTAAGCACCTTCATTAGTGTCTTTAAATTATTGAATGCATGTTACCATTTAGTTTTTTACTTTCTCAGTTGAAGTATTTGTAAGTGTGATGAATTCTTCACTTGCCTTAACAATGTGAAATTCTGGACTTGCATGGCCAACTCTTTAGTGAAAAGCATAATTTTATAACCACAATGTCATCTTAGTGTAGAATTATATTAGTATGCAAATGTATGGATATTTAGGTATATACATTGCATGTATAAACATAATTCTTACAAGTACCTTAAAAATTTAACAGTTGTTTATATGGATATACTATCATTTGTTCTTAACATTTGATATATGATAATGTTATTGATACTATGGTACTAAGAAAGCAGAGACTAACAGGTTTTAACTTATTGCCAAGATCACCTAGTCAGTACATCAATATATGGAGAAGACGCAGAAATAGGTTTTCAAATTTTAACGCCCCCAATCAATCAGTATCTTTTTCTCTCACTCTCCCTTCGTCCTTCCCTCCCTCCCACCATGTATCTGGCTATCTAGTCTACTACTAGTTTTATTTTATTGTCTACCCTATGTCATATACTCTTTAGGTGCTTGGGATTTATTTATAATTGAACAATATAAAAGATCATTGCTCTTGTTCATGTTTATATGTTTTTCCGTCTGGCAAGCTCTACTCTTTTAAATTACTAAAAATATAGAGTGTATTTCAAGGTGTGACTGGAAAAAAAACAGAGAGCTTGCTAGGAAACAGGAAACATGAATTAAAGGATGGGCTTATTTGCATTTCTTATGTATTTATGTATCTTTAAGCTTGCAGGTATGTTCTAACCTAAACTAGATTTGCAAAACTCTATGTTTAGATGTTTTGAAAATGTCTGTCAGTCATTTTATAACTTATATTTTATTCTGAATGTGATCAATGCAACTTTACAAAAATAAAATGCTTAAATTACAATGGATTCCCCAAAGAGCATTTTTGAACAAAGTTATCTTGTACTGCAGAGCATATTCAAGCACTCTAACTTTATATTTATCCTGTATAGTAAAGTTCCTGAGGGTCGTAATGTATTGAGTTTACAGTTGTTTGGCTTTAGAGTTTGGATAGTATAAATAGAGTGAGAAATGGATGAATTTTGTCTTTCTTTTCATTAAAAAAAGTTAACAATATCTTCCAAATGATAGTAGTCTGTGTTTGAATAAAGCAAAATAGAGATAATCTGAAATCTAGCACCCATTATTCAGTAGTTTGGCATATATTAATACTAGTTCCTAGGACAGTTGAACTGAAAGTAAGATTTACTACCCATTGAATTTATTTACAGATGCCCAGTGATTTAAAAGAAAAAAAAAAAAAGAGAGAAACCTGAAATCTACCCTCCTCAAAGAAAATCAATCTGTACACAGAACCTACCAGTTGAAGATAAACCACTTTTAGATGGTATCATTTAATTAGCCAGTGAAGAGTCTACCTAGTGACATACACATAAATTGTAAAAGAACTCAAAGTTGCCTGCATGAACTTGATTTAGCACAAAGTATTTTTTGTTGTTGTTAATATTGCATAATAATAAAATTATATCACTGAACTGAACTTAGTCCTTTTGCTAATGTGCATTTGAAATGGGCAGAATGAAGGAATAAAATTAGAATGTAATAATAGTATGCATTAGCTAAATTCAAGAGATATTAAGCCATACATGATTTGCCAAGACAGCGAGCCTTGAATTTAGCTAATTTTATCTAATAATATTCCAGAATTAGTTTTGATAATGTTTATGGCAAATAAAATGTAAACTGACATCAAAGTGGATGTTTTAAATGTAAGCAGGGTCTAGTAAAAGCAGAGGATTGTTTTGTAATACTGAGTATAAGGACCGTTTTGGTCACAGTCTCCATTCATAAGTGACCCTCTGCCCTTACGCTGTGGTAGGTTGTAACTCAGAGGTGTACCGTAGCATTTGAATCAGTGTGAAAATGTATTTTTCCTAGAGTAGAGTATACATATTAGTACTGCCAACTCGGAACTGTGTGAAATTTATAATGTGGAGTAAAACATGATAAAATCTGCTGTAATTGATCAAGAGGCACGATGGAAAGTTCAATTCCAGCAACTGTTCTCAATTTTAAGTGCATGAGAGACTATGAATGGGTGAGCAAATAGTTCGGCTTAGCAGATAATAGCAGATGCTCTTAAAGATAATTTTTGTTTGTTTCTGTATTAGTTTTGCAAGCACTGTGGTAAAAGTATGGTTTCTGGGACCACACTACCTGAGTATTAATACAGTGTCTTGCTTCCCCCCTTTCAGGCCTCGATTTCTTCCTATAAAAACTGAGGGAAATAGAATTACCCACTTCATAGGGTTGGTGAGAAAATTTTGTGAGCAAATCTTATGAGTACTGGGAACAGTGTCTGAAATATAGTACGTGTCTAATCAGTGTCACCTCCTTTTAGGATTTTTATCGTTACTGACTCGTTTAGTACTGTGTGTGTGTTTATGTGTGTATGTGCATGTGGGCATGTTGTAGTTAATTCAGGAGTTTCATTAAAAACCAATTTTATAAACAAAAAGCTCTGGGATAGCACAAATGGAAAAAAACTTCGGGAACTATCCCTTCTAATGACTGTTTAAAACTTGATACTCATCTCAGTGGACTTTAGTACTAAATGTATAACCTTATCCACCAGCAATGTGGGAGATCTGGGTTGGATCCCTGGGTCGGGAAGATCCCGTGGAGGAGGGCATGGCAACCCACTCCAGTGTTCTTGCCTGGAGAATCCCATGGACAGAGGGGCCCGGTGGCCTACAGTCCATGGGGTTGCAAAGAGTCGGACGTGACAGAGCAACTAAACACATAGCCTTATCACTTATTATATATGAGATTTTTGATATGTCTTAGATTTCACACTTTTAATAAAAAATGAATTAAATAAAATGTATTAAATAACATTTAGGAGATTTTTCTAACTTTAAAATTGCATGATATGGGATGTTCTGTGTGTGTACACACCCACACATATATATATGTATAAACATACCTATGTATATTTAACACAAATGGAAAATCCTATTGATTTACATTTTGCTTTATTCACCTTTAACTTTTTAATTTTATTATTTGTTGTGAATTGGTTAGAGTTTGAAACTTGTAATTATAAAAGGCTTTATTTATTCTGATATTTGTGGAGGTCAGCACTCTCCATCTTTACTACAGCTCATGTTCTCACATGGGTGATGGAGTGGTGATAGAATGAGGCTAAAGTCCTTTTCTAGTGCATGCCGTTCTGAATCCCTAACCACCCTGAAAGGCAAAATAAGTGTGTTTTTATTTTTAAAGTCTCTCTCTGTGTTATGTGTGTGTGTAGGTGTTTTGCTTTATTTTAATGGAATGTGCCTAAACTTACATTAAGAGAGATACAAACAGAAAAAGATAAAAAATATTAATTTCTCTTCAGTTCACAATTTTGTAAAACCAAGGTGTAAATATATGGGTAAAACATTTTTAAAAAACCCAGTCATTTTACTAAGGTATTTTTTCCCTTTACTTCTAAATACTCTGGCTTATTCCACAAATTCTTTAAAGCATAGACACACAACTATTGAGCACTTATTATTTGCCAACAATGAACAAACCACTACCAGTGCTCTCAAAGGGCTCATGGTCTAGAGATCAACATATAGTTGAATATAAATAATTACAATATATTGTGATAGTGTTATAGTAGAGATATGTGCAGAGTGCTGAGGGAACATAGACAAGTGACTTATTCTATTAATACCTGGGGGGAAAAAAATCAGAACTTTTCCAAAAGAAGCTATCATTTTAGGTGACTTTTTAAAAATGAGTAAAGAATTTTCCAGGTGGAGATCATTAAAGGCTATTTCATAAAGAGGGGCCTCCAGTAAGGATGGCATCCCCTCCTGTGAGAGGAAAAAGCACAGTGTATTCAGATAAGGACCAGTGTTTGGAATGACTGGAGGCAGGGACCAGGAGAAGATAATTAGCAACTAATTATAAGAACAAATGCTGGTTGTAAAAAACCAGTAGGGACAACCTCGTCATAACTGCATGATTACAAGTTTTGGCCTGAAGGTTAAATTGAGTTTTTTTAAACTTAAATACTGTAGAAAGTCTATGATGAGGTAGATCACTATGGTTTTGAATAAATGCTCCTGGAGAAGGGAATGGCAACCCACTACAGTATTCTTGCCTGGAGAAATCCATGGAGAGAGGGATTGGTGGGCAAAGAGCTGGACATGATGGAGTGACTAAATGCTTTATGCTGGAATGCTTTCTAAAAGAGACTGGAAGCAAAATTACCTTGGAATTATTTAAAACAGTCTGACCCATCAAACAAGAAGAAAGGGCAAAAGAATCTACTTCATTACATTTTAAATAGCATTATTAGATTCCCCTATTAGTTTATTTTAATTTAATTTTATTTTACTTTAATTTACTTTAAAATATGAGTGATATCCAGTAGGGTGACTAATTACATAAGAATACTGAAGAGGGTCACACAAAACAACATTGAAAAGTGTATCAGAGTTTGGGAAAGAGTTCCTTTATGATACTGATCAAACCTCAGCTAAAGATAGAAAACGTCTGATCCTAAATGACCCAGTGTTTCCATAACTGGCTAGCTCTAAGGTCAGGGGAATGGACTCTCTCTTATCTGATGACTCAATTCACTGTATTTATTTTTAAATTACTTAACATTAAATAAAAGCTATTTGTTTTTCAATTATTTTAAAGGAAAAAAAAAGAAACACTATTTCATCCCCTTCTTGATATGATTTAAGTGGCATGTAATTTATATTAAGGGCTTCCCTAGTGTCTCAGCTGTAAGGAACCTGCCTGCCAAAGCAGAAGATGCAGGTTAGATCCCTGGGTTGGGAAGATCCCCTGGAGAAGGCAATGACAACCCACTCCAGTACTCTTGCCTGGGAAATCCCATGGACAGAGGAACCTAGCAGACTACATGGGGTCACAAAAGAATTGGACATGACTTAGTGAATAAACAGCAGCAGCAGCAATGAAGCCATTAGAGAAGTGGTGATCCAGGAAAGAAAACATTTTAGGGAAAGTGAAAAAAATAATATAACAAAAGGATCCACTAGCATACAGGATTGTGCTCGTTAATTATAGGGAATATGACAACTAAGGTTCCTCTTCATGTACTGAATTGCTACTCATCATTCAAATTGCAATTAAAGAAATACACTGTTAAGGTAGTCCTCCTTGAGTTCCTTGGCCAGGTCAAACTTTCTCATTATAGGCTTTTAAGAATAATATTTAACATGTGCAAGAGTTGCAGGATTTTTTGATTAATGAAACTTTTTAATTCCAATCTTCCAAACTAGACTTTTAATTTTCATGAAAATGATGGCCGAGCCTGTTTTGAGTCATCACTGAATCTCCCTCATCTAGCATAGTGTCTAGTGTAAGGATAGCCACTAAATAAAAAGTATAGGCACTTAGAAGATGGGGGAAAAAAAAAGAATAGTTCTTTTCCCAGATAAAAACAAAGGCGCTGAGATACTAGTGGATCTTAATAATAAAAATGTTGAATGGACTTTCTGAGAGCATTGAAATACTGGATTGGCCAAATCTTATTCTGTTTACCCTAGTACATCTTACAAAACACTCAAACAAACTTTTTGGCTAACCCAATACTTGCTCATCTCTGCATCCTCTTCATTACTGATGTGTGGATGACTTATAAGTGGTACACTTTGAGTTGCATGTCAAACAACAAAAATACTATCAATGTCTACTTGTAAATTGTGATATAAATATAACAAAGGTCCTTTGGAATACAGATATTTGGATATGGATACAGATATGAGGAAATGTAGACCCTGCAAAGGGTATAGTTATTGAGTAACTATATGTACAACTTGTACCAGGTATAACTGGTTTTACTGAAACTAGAAAAAAGTGTAATTGAGAATGTTCTGGCCAACCATATGAAAGACAGCAGAAAGGCTCAAAATACAGGAAAAAAGGAAATTGTACTTTAAATTGAAGAGAAGGTCACTGGTGGCCTTAAAGAAAGTAGTTTGAGATGCTAGGCAGCAAAGAAATTGATTGTTAGGAATTGAAGTCATGTTCAAGCAATTTAGAAGTGAAAAGGAATGAAGACCTGCTAGACAGAACTGTCAAATAATGACTTCTTCCTAAATAGAAAAAGTTTATTCCATGGGTAGATGTGTGAAATATTAAGTGACATTTACCCTTTCACACTGGTCTTCATAACTTGTACCAAACATATTCATAAAAAGTAACTATATGCTGTACACCTTTGTTATTATGTTTAAGACATCATCATGGTTTAAAAAAAAAGGACAACAGCTTATCCAAAATGTAGGAAATTGTGGGGGTTATTTATTCAGAAGTTAATTTAAGAGAAATTAGCTGAAACCCAAAAGAGAGAAAGATATGTGGTGGACATTGGTTTAAAAATCTGTATGATTAGAGAATAAGATGAATGTAAAATAAATGTAAATACATAAAAAATTTTATATTTTTATATATGCAAAACCACACATTTACTGTTAGAAAATTTTATTTTCAAAGTTG